CTGACTTGAAGACTTTCTCGACGGGGAGCCCTTGGGATCTGTTGAGCTACTCTAAAATGGGTATTTTGGATAAATCGTCGTGCATGTGTGCAGGCTGGAAAAGCGGAATAGTTTGACTTGGAGGGAGGTTGTCTTGCAACATCTGCAAGAGCAGAGCTTGTGGAGCGGTGTGGTGTTGAAACCAAGTTTTGCTATCCTCTGCTCGCCAGATATTAATTAGTGTTGGACTGAACCATGGCTGTTAGGAACAGGGTGAGCAATGAGCCCTTGCACTCCATTTCAGCCTCAAGTCTGTTTTGTTTAAAGGATTTTGATGCAGAAAAGCAGGGTGAGTGTATAGATGACAACGAGCCTGCAGAGATGTTGTGTGCTCCCTCCGGCCATGCCTTTGGACAGAAGCAGGGGTGAGTGGTGAGACTGGGAGGGGGGTCTCAGGATATTTGGGTGGCTGGAGGATCTGCTGTGCAGGGGACAGCAAGTTCGTAAGGTCCCCGTGTAGCCGTTTGCTTTGACGTTTGGCGTTCAGAGTTGCTAATACCTTTTAAGAAGAGGTGTGCGGGACTCCCTCTCCATCGCCAAAGCACTGACGTTCCCGGTGGTGCCGTGGGATACCAGGAGTTCCAGGTCCACTTCTGGGGGCTGATCTGGTGCAGGCTGGGGGGGATGCTGTTGGTGGGGAGATCGACCTGTGGTGCGAGTGTCCTTAGCAGGGAGAAGCCTATTTGTCTTTTCCCCACAGGCTGCTCTGGGTGTCTTTAATTACCTTTTCTTCAGATTGCTTCCTGTTGCTAAAGTCGTCTTGTCTGGAGTAGGATGCTTAAATATAAATACGTACCTAAACTCTTTTCTGATAGGATTTTTACTCTGCAGTCTCTATGTGGGATCATATCTAAGTTTTGCTGTGATTTGCTTATTTCCGTAGCATTCAACGCCTTCTCTACACTAGACTTGTGAAGAACCTGCCTTTTACAGGCTGTCTGGCATCAAACCCTCATCCGCTATGAACCACCCCCCGCCCCAATCCAACATTTACAAGGGTGGCAGCTCAGGGCAGGAGGTGAGCAGCACTCCTTGGGTGCTCCTACAAGAGCAGAGCATCCTTCTCCAGCATCCAGGGAGCTCCCGAGGCACCTGCAGGCTCTGCACATTTACCTTGTGAATAATAATGGAAAAAAAAATTAATTTAAATAAAAACCTGCTTGTGGTTTGGCTGTGGGCAGTGCTTTCTCCAAATAAAGAGTTGAAGAGCAGTGGAGCGGGAACTTCGCTCTTCGTGTTGGCTCTGCTGTGGGCTGGGTTGGAAACCAAACACTACTTAGCAAAGATCTCCATGCAGCAAAGGTGCTGTTTTTTTAAAATAATACGGCCTCTCGGTTATGTTACGTGCTTACAAATCTCTTTGCTTTTAGTCGAGAGCTTAGGGGAAACTATTTCTGATCATAAAACTTCAAAGGGAGGGAACCAGCCATGACCCCGTGCATTGGAGAAGCATGCTTGGGTCTTGCAGCAAGATGTTTGCCTGCACCCAGTGAATTACTGGTGCTGGTGGCTAACTGCTGCTGTGAAATGTGTATTGGGAAGGGCAGGGAAGGGAAGAGCTCGTACGTGGCTGTCTCTGCGTCCCCAGCCCTGCCGAGGGGATCTAGCCAAGCTGCGATGTGGTTCCCAGGGGATGGAGGAAAGATGCGGAGACGTTTGCTCATCACCAGCGAGACCCATTTCCCACACCGGGAAAGGTCTGTGACTGCGGCTTTGAAATCTAAGCATGTAAACATTTCTTGTTTCAGAATTGTTGGTATTTAAAGAGAGAAAACTTAACGTCCAGAGGAAATGTTTGTGGACTGTCCCTCTTGTTTACTGCGGCTGATAAGAGCTGCTCTTCATCTTGTGCCCTCCCTGCAGTCGTCATCTCAAGAGCCGCAATTCTGCCTTTTTAAGAGCAGTGCGCTTTCGATGTTGCGTGTTTTGATAATGATTCCTACTAACGTATTTATTCAAAACAAACACAGTGGGAAGCAACTACAAAGCAGGCTGCTTTGGCAGCTGGTGCAAAAGGGAGCTTGCTTTTGTCGTGTGTTCGTGGTGGGATAATCTTGCAACGCGTCCATCCCGCTCGGTGCGTGCTGGGGCATCGGGAACTTTGCCCTTGGAGTTGGCCATGGCGAGTCTATCCTGCATCGTGGGCTTGGGGTGATGTGCATTTGGCTGAACATAGTTTGTTGGCCCCTGCACCGCCTTGTAGCATCTCTAGGACTTTTTGGAGAGCTGTTGAGAGCACGAATTGGCTGCGTGGTGGCTGGGTTGACTCGAGATGGAGCCGTGTGTTGCCAACGGGGCCAGCAGCATCCCTAGCAAGGGATCACGGGAGGCAGGGAAGCAGCAGTAAGAACTGCAGGGGCAAGTCACCCGCGTGCTGCTGTCTGCAAACCCACTGCAGCCCCTTAACCCCCGCCGGTGAGTGAGCAGCCTCTTCAAAACCTCTCCTGAACCGAGCTGCGGACCCCACTCACGCCAGAATCCCGCTTCGGCCCCGCTAAACCGGTGGTAACCTCAGTTCTACCCCTGCGAGCCAGCAGCCATCCCTAACCCTGGTAGTTCACTGCTAGTTGCAGCTTTCAGGTATTCACTGTGTGGTGTGTGCCCCGTGGGCGGTGAACCCTTGGTCTAAAAGCTTTCGCATCTCGTGTGTAGTTGGTTTTAACTTGCTTTCCCTTCTTGCTGATGTTTAGGGGAGAAAGAAATTCAGCGTTGTGGATTCTTTTGCTGTCCCCAGGGAGTGAGCAGCAGGCACGAAGCTGCCCCCTCCTCGAAGGTGGTGGTGGGAGCCGGCTGGGTGCTGCGTGAATCCGCCGTAGCCTTTTATTTAGCTTGGATTTTACAGCTTTCTCGTGGAGCCTGTTCTGTGATAATCTTGCAAAAACAAACTCCTGCAAGACTTCTGGGGAAACGAGGTGACATAATGCCTAACTCGACAGCGTTCTGGAGGATTACCCTTACGTGCTCTCGCTGCCTTGGTTGAGCGATGCCAAACTGTCCTGTCTTCTCCTGTGCAAAGTGCTGGAGGAAGAGAACCGACGCAGGGTGGTTTTCTGCACATCTGCATCTCCATCGGAGCCTTGCTACATCTGGATTTTGGCAGCACCTTTGCCTTGCGATGTCCCTGGTGCACTGGGTGCCCACGGATGCCCGTGCAGGCTCTCTGCTTGGCTGCCCGTTCTCTCAGGGCAGGTAGAAAGCTGCCATTTCGGTGGCCTTCACCTCTCCGTTGGCTTTGGAGAAACCCAGAGCAGCTCACCAAGAGGAGAGGGTGTGTGGAGCATGAGGCTGGAAACCTGGCTTCTGTAGGAGACCAGGCTAAAAAGGGCCCTGCAGCTCGTCCCCAAAGCTGGCTGGTGGGGCTAAGTCAAAGCAAAGACGTTTCAAAGAGTTCAGAGAGCCTGTCCCAAATCTGACGTAGCTCCGAATCACTCTCATGGGAGCGCAGACCCTGTGGGTTACCGTCCCTGCTTTTCCAAAAGCCTTCCTTGGAAAAAAAAAACCCCACCCTAAACCCAAACCAAAACAAACCTCATAAACTCAGGAAAATTGCATTGCTGGAGAAACAAATTCAGTGAAGGTCTCTTATGCTGCTTTGTTTTAACCACAGCTTTAAGAATAATATTAAGCTTTTGCGTTAAATGCAGGGGAAGATACTTTGGAAAGCTAGGAGGGCTTTTCTCTTTCAAGCACCCTGGTTATTTTGGCAATCAGGATGAGTTAAATTAAAATTGTTGAATGCAGTAATATGTAGGAGGGTGACATCTTGAAATGTTTCTTAATTTTAAGTACGTGTTTTGAGCAAATGTTTGTACGCCGAGGCTTGGGCTGGGGGGATTGAAAGGCATATTGGATTATGTGCTATTTGCTCTGTGTAAGCAGTGGCAATTTATTGCTGCAGATACATGTGATGCAACGCGCAAAGATTAGTTCTATCCTCTCTAAAGCATGATTATTTTGGGTCCTCTTTATACCTTAAATAGATATTCTTCTCATGTGATTTCCATCTTTTTGTGTCAACAGCCCAGGCTAAAGTTGAAATAAACATTGCATCAGTTTAATAGCACAAGCTCTGAAGAAATCTGCTCTCCATTATGGGGATTGTTTGGAAGCCTTTTCCTTTTACATTTTTCCAGTGTGCAATGCAAAGATCGCGTGAATCCTGAAGCCTCCTTGGCTCCACTGGACCTGTCTTGTGCAGATCAACGGAGTTGATCGACACTGATGTACTGTCCCGAGCAGAGCAGCAGTGTGGTTCATCGTGTTTAGATCTCCCCCTTTTTAGTTCGTGGTGAGGATCTGTGGCCTCTTTCAGGGACATTTAGGAGTGAGCGGCTGTGAAAATTTGTGGCCATGCAATTTTTGACTCTTGTTGGATGTATGAGTTTTCTTCCTAGCCACGGTTTTCTCCTTCCAGTTGCAGTGGTGGAGAAGGATGCTGTAACGCTGCCAGCCGTGGCAGGCTCTCCGGGGTTTTGGCATGGCGTGGTAGGAGGAAGGTTGCCTGGTCGTGTACGTGTCCTCATCTGCTCTGCTCCCACAGCTGGTGCTGCCAGAGGGGAACGGGGACTTGGAGGAAGAGAGGAGCTCAGGACAGCCCTGTGGAGCAAGACCCCCTGCCATCTCCTCCCCTTTCCTTAATCTTGTTTCCATTTTTTAATCATTTGCTCTTGTCAGGCTGCAGACCTGGTGCCAGGGCATTTAGCAGTTTGGAGTCAGTGTTGTCCAAATGGTGGAAGATGTGTGGGCAAACATCAATAGAGATGTTTCTATCAAAGCAAACCTTAGCAAAATGAATGATTTTGCTCTTAATGACTTTGTAGGCTGGAGTCGGCAGGACACAGTGGTGTGACTGGCGAGCGTGGTGTGTCTGTGCTTGTGGCTTGGTTTGAATAGCTTAACGCAGACTTGAATATTGGAAAGCTCTTGATTGAGACCTTTTGCACCTCTCTTACAGCATCATCATGACAACAGAGAAGAGCCTAGCGGCGGACGCCGACAATTCGGAGCAGCAGGAAGCCAAGGAGGAAGAAGGAGCTGCTGAAGCGCAAAAGCAAGAGGCTTCCCTAGAGGAGGGGGCTCAGCAGACGTCGGAGGGACAGCCTGCAGTGGGGCAGAAGCAGAAGACCTCCAACGGCGATACACCCACGCACGAGGAGCAGAGCAAGAAGGAGCACCGCACCTCTGAGGGCCGAGGTCTCTCCCGCCTGTTCTCATCCTTTCTCAGGAGGCCCAAGACTCAGGTGTCCGAAGAGGACAAAGACACTGATGCTCATAAAGAGGCGGGAGGTGACCAGAAAGAGCCAGGATTAGGAGCCAGCCCTGATGAAGACATCTTGGTGAAAGCCCCAATTGCAGCTCCTGAGCCTGAGCTCAAAACCGATCCATCGCTAGATCTCCATTCCTTAAGCAGTGCGGAAACACAGGTAAAACACCCTGCTCCATGTGGGGTGCTCCCTTCTGTTCTTGAAAATGTGTATTTTTAGCTAAAACTATAAAAACTTCATATCCTAGGATGGTAAGCTTGATCAGAAAAACTCAGGAGATGCTAAAAAAGCCCTTGTCAGCTCCCTGTGTTGCATCGTGTACTTCTCACTCTTGCATTCCTGTGTCAGACTGTCCTGCAAAGTACCTGCTCCTGAAATTGTGCTCAGTTTCACAGCATGACTTAAAATGCCCCATCCTCTTTACTCTGCTGAGGCATGGGAAATCACATCAGAACTAGGGTTCAAATTCATAACTCACGACAGAGCGGTTGCTTGTTGGGATGTCCTTGCTGTGTGCAGAATAAAGGCGGGTCAGTGACGTGAGGTGGAGATTGCAAGAGGACGTGGATTTGGGAAAGGGTTTCTTCGACTTCAAGGGGCGCAAGCATGACATTTCAGGACTTGGTCATCTGTTCAGTCCGGGCTGGTGCTGAGCCTGCCGAATACAAATATTTTCTGCTTATGCATCATGTGGGCAGGGATTTCTGCACAGCACGTGGGCTCAGCCCAGCTCCTAGTAGCTCTGTGATGTCTGCTCTTTCAGCCAGGGTCATTTTTCATGCAAAATTTAAAGTTTTTAAAGCATGGTAGAAGCTGAGGCAGAAACACCCCCAGGGAGACATTCACAAAGCTGCAGCTGGTTATTGATGTGGGGTATTGGATGCTTTCTCTTACTCTGTGGGTAAATGCAGCTCTGCTGTTACTAGTGGGGCTGCCCGGAGTTAGAGGAAGGCGGGTGTCCCTTCTCCTGAGATGGGGATTTCTTACACCCCAACCAACCTGGGTATATTGCTGGAGTCATAGCACGTTCGTGGTATAAAATCAGGATTACTTACCTCGCTGGCTTAAGTTTTGAATGGCCTCCAGAGAGGTGTTACATAGCTGCAAACTCTGACTTTTGGAGCAATACTTTACAAGTTAGAGCATTGCCAACTGTAGGCAGTAATTGTAAATCCACCTCCTTAAAATTACAAAGTTGTAGAGAAGGCAGTAGGTAATACCTTTTTGTTTCTTCACCCACATTTCTGAGCCTGCGAGAACCATGGGATGATCTCTGAGGGTTGGGATTAGCAGAATAGGGAAGAGCTGGAAAGTTTTGTGCAATTTCAGCCCAGAAATTGTGTCTTCAAGAGGAAATGCATGATTTATTTCTCTGTTTAACTTCGATTTGCTGCTTCTGAGCGCATGTGAGTATGCACCCACAGCCTTCCTTCACCATGGGCTCTTCGTTTCAGACGAAGCATTTGTGCTTTTTTTTTTTTTTGGTTCTTATTTTAGATCAACGTCAGTGGCTTTTTGAACTGTGACACTCGGCAGATATTTCTGCTGTGAAAGCATTTGCGAGGTGCTGCCTGTTTGATAAATGCTGACCGACGGGCATTACGAGCTTTGACTGATTCTCTGCTCCCGATTGTCCCAGCCCTGCTGGAACAGAAGTCAGCAGCTTGTGGACATTATTTAGTTTTTAAATACCTCCATGTGGTTGTGCCTGGCTGTGATTTCATGAGATGCGATGGGCTGAAAAGACAGGGTTTTGCTTTTCCTCTGCCGCGGCTGCGTGATCCTGCTGCATCGAGCCACTTCCAGCACTTGTCAGAGCCTGCCGTGAACTCATTTAACCTGCTGAAATGGCAATGGAAGAAAAAACCCTGCTTCCTTCCTCATGCTGTCCCCAAACTGCATCTCTTTCTGCTATTTTAGTGAATTAAACGGGCTCGCAAAGTGATTCAGTAGGCAAAGGGAGAGCGGTATGAAGGCTGCCTTCCCTTTTTGGTGGCAGAGAGCTGCTCGGTCAGCTCAGATGGCCGTAAAACTCTTAGCACTGACCCCCCCCTTTTAATGCCACTGCTGCCAAACTGGGGGCAAAGCCCATCGCCCAGGGTCGCAGTGGGAGTGGGGGGGCCTGTGCAGTGGGTGTCTTCCCTAGGAGGGGAAAAACTTCCGAGCCCAAAAGGTGCTGTCGTTAAGACCATAAAGATTTGCATGATGTAATCTGCCCTGATTTCTCTAATCAACCCTTATTCCTTTTTTATTACATCCTTTATTAAATGAAGATTTGAGAATGACTTGAAGGGCTTTAAAAATTAATATCATTACCTTGTTCGTGCAAGCTGCTGCTCCAGGTCCCAGGTTACACATTTAAGTCAGAGAAGTAATTCTGGGGTGAGGTCCCAGCCTTATGGTGCAGCTATGCCATGCTTGTTTCATGTGACGGTTTTTTGGTTTTTTGTTTTGCTTGACACATCTAAATTGCAACTCGGGTGATGTGGGGGTTTCAGCCTGCGCAGGAGGAGAGGAGGGACGATCAGGAGCCGGACGGCAGAGACCTCGGGGGCAAGGAAGGAGGGGAAGTGAAGGAAGAGTGTGCCAAGCCAGAGCCAAAACAAGAGACTCCGGAGACCAAAGCAGACAAGGATTTGAAAGCTGCCCAGAAAGCAGTAAAAAGACACAGAAACATGTACTGCAAAGTTGTCCTGCTGGATGACACCATTTTTGAGTGCTCCATGGATGTAAGTACTTTTGGGGTTTGTTTCTGCTTCTCCTCTTTTCCCTCTCCCTTCTCCCCTCCTTGAAAAATCACCGCAAACACGATTTAATAGGGGCCTAATTTGCTGCCAGTGAATTACATGACAGGCTTTACTGCAGAACAGCCTTGCTGTAAGCGATAGCAGCTTATTTAATGTGTTGTGAAAATCTCTGGGTACTTAGGAATCTTTTTTTTATTGTTCTACGATTTCCAGGGTGCCTTGCTTTGTAAAGGTGGTGCGAAGTTTAAAAAAAAAAGTCATCTTACTTGCTGTTCATCTTCTCTCTCATTTGTGTCCCAGACTAGAGTTTAGGTTTTTGTGTTAGGTTGGGATTGTCTAAATATCTTTCGCCCCTTTCCTTTGAATAAAATGGGTTGTCAGATTGCTTTGTGCTTTTCTATTCACCCAAGGTACCTTACCTACCAGGCTGCTGGCTAACCTAACTCCTGGAGCTTGGATGTAAAGAAAAACATGCTGTGTTTAGCCTGCAGTGGAATATATTTGCAGTAAACAATTTTAAATTGTTATGTTGACTTACAGCACTGCATACCCCTTCATCTGAGAGCTTTTCTTCTGCTTTATTTTGTACATTCTCTCACAGGGCTGTCTTGCTGTCAGGGCAATAAAAAGCTAGCAGAAATCCCCATTTCAGTATTGAAGTACTTGTCCGGAATATTAATAATCCGGTACTTACCATTCGAGCATACTTCCATCAGCTTGTTTTTCCCCAGTCCCGCTGGCTAAATGGGCCAGGAGAGGGTATCTGGGCACAGGGCTCCTTGTGAAAGCGGTTACCTTGGGTGATCCTGGGCAAGTAGGTCAGCGCCGGCCGTTTGTGTAACAACGTCGCTGCTCTTATTGCCTGGGATCAGCTCGAAGCATCACCACCCTGATTGCCTTCCCCTTTGCCGGGGATTTTGTGTGCAGCCCCTGAAAGGAAACTGTTCCCCAAAATGCTGGTGACAGCTTGGCATGGCTTTGTGCGTGAGTTTGCTGCAGCGATGCCTTCAAATACCGGCAGGCTGCGTGGACGCTGGTGGTGGGAGAGCTGGTGGTGGTGTGGTTGGTCCTGACTTGAGCAGGATGTTAGAAGTCTCTTTTTTTCGTGGTGGGCACTGCAGAGAGGATTAGGAGGGGCTGCTGTGTCAGTGAGACCCTCTTGACTCAACGAATACCCTTAGCTTTAATGCCAATATAATCCTACTCTAGCATTTTGAGAATTTAAGACTTAATTGGGAAGGACTTGCAAAGGTGTAGGCAAAGACCAGCACAAATACCTTTATCCAAGAAGAACAAGTGCTTTCAGGTATCCTTTCCGATTGACAGCTATGAAAGGTTTTGAATTCCTATATGTCTTTAAATGCCAATTCCTTGAGAAATATCTGGGCTAACACAGGCACTGTGTTACCTATAGAGTCACGATGTGTGCACTAAGGACCTTACAGCTGAAGGACTGGAATAAAAACAAGGCTGTGGTCTTGGATCAGTTGCCATACAAGTGTGACTAAAAGGGGAGATGCGGGCACAAGCAGTACATTGGGAAAGCTTATTTTACATCACTGGAACTGCACTTTCTTTTTAGCAAAGCCTCCAATAGAATTAGCTGCTTCTGGTTACCATAGTTTTGTGCCTCAGGGATGTTTTCCTTCATGCTTTTGGACTAAAAGGGTAACTGTTCCTAGGGCCAATTCACTTCTGCAGGATTTGGAAAAAAAAAAAAAGAGAGGAGATAGGAATGCTGAAAACATATTTCTGGAGGCAAGAAGTTGTGTGCTAAGCAGCTTTCAGTGCATAAGGCAAAACTGGAGAAGCTGGGTTTCATCAGCAGGTTGGGTTGATGAAAAGGCCACGGAAATGATGGTCTTGGGTTCTCAGGCGCGGTTTCTTTTGTGACCCTTCTGAGCCAGGTCACCCCCAAAATGGGGGACTATAGCAGTGGGTTGTAGCAGCAGTTTCATACCCCACATTGATAATCTTTTAATCAATGCTTGATTGTCTGACAGCCTGGAGCTGGGAGATATCAGTGCAGTAGATGTACTTTGGGAGGGAAAATCCATACAAATCCTCGGCGTTTATTGAGTTGTGTTGAGAAGCTCAGCTTTGGGGGGACTTCAGACTTGGAGCTGGTGGTAGCAGAGAGACCCACTGGCGTTCCCATTGCCTTTCCGGTTTGAATTTTTATGCCTGATGCCCTTTCCTGTAAGGGGTACTTGTTCAGAAATGGCCAGGAGATCTGATTTTGAGTTACTCAAGACTTTTTTCCCTTCTTGACAGTGTACAGTGTGGTTTGATTACTTTCCCTTTCTCCCCTCCCCTGTGAACGAGGGCAGGCAAAAACCAGCCTGTCCTACAGAATTTCTTTTGTCTATTTGCAGAAACATGCCAAGGGGCAGGATCTACTTAAAAAAGTCTGCGACCACCTCAACCTCCTGGAAGAAGACTACTTTGGTTTGGCCATATGGGACACGCCAACTTCCAGGGTAAGCAGCTGCTGTTGCTTGGTGTTCTGCACCCGGGTGGGTTCAGCTCTTTCCAAGGATCATCTCCCCTGGGGAGGAGGTGATGCATAAGCTCTTCTTCAAACTCCTTTTGGTGTCCTCTCCCCAAAAAAAGGACTGAGAAGGTCATCACAGAGGCAGAAATTGTGAATAAATGACTGCATGAGTGTGGATTTTAGTAAAAAAAAGCTATGTGAACTTGGATCTTCACCTGGAGAAAAGTTGTTGTATTAGTTTACCGCAAAATGATGCCATTAATTTGTAAAGCTATAGCTCAAAAGGTCAGGCTGCCCTAGCACTGCTGTCAGCGTTGGTAAGGTTTGGTCGGAGCCATCCAGAGTGGTTTTGAGTCGAGGCTTTGCCCTCCAAAAGGACACGCTTGACTCTTCATACCAAAACTCTTACTCATAGGGTTTCAGTTTCAGGTCTTTGTTTGTTTAGACTCAAGCAATGTCTTATCTTTTAAACTCTTGGTTACGCTTTAACTGAAGCAGTTACTCAAGCTGTGTTTCATGAAGCTAGCCAAAAGTGTGCTAAATTGAAACCAAGGGCCCACTTACATGTCCTTTAGACCAGTTAGGTTGGTCCACGTTCTGACTATTCTCGTGCTTCACCTACAGCAGTCACTTGTGGGCCAGGTTACTACGACTGACAGACATTTGTCATTAAATACTTAATAATTGCAAGTGTGAATTTTTAATACGCAGGCAAAATAACACTCCATCGCTATTTGAGGCAGGGAGAGCTCCGTCTTGGGTTTGTTTTACTGTTTCTGGGGTCTTGCTATTTTCTTGTATATGAATTTGCTTCCACGTGTATAGCCTGGATTTTTTTACCCTAGAGAGTTTGTTGTGCTTGTAGAGGGAGGGATAGGTGTACTTTTAGATCCAATTAGGAGCAAAAAGAGTTTAGCCGGAGCAGCTCAACTTCTCGCACTTGTGCTGTCGTAGCTCACCACTGCATCTCCCGGACCCCCAGGACCTGCTCTTCTCACGTCCAGGCGCGCTGACATCAATTCTTCCAAAAGCGAAAGCGTGCACCTCCTTCCCCCCAAGCCCACAAGGGCTAAGAGGTTGTGCAGCTTTTTAGTTTTGTCAGATTTGTGTCCCAGAGCCGGGAGCTGAGGAAAGTAAAGCCGCTGTGCATGTGTTTAGCTCCAGTGCAGCATAAGCTGCTTGGTGGAAGTCTGGTTTGCTCTGATGGGGGAAAATGCCTTTTTTTTGTTGTTTGGTTTTTTTTTAATCTTTCTGGTTATGTTTCATTGAACTTTGAAATCTGAAGCTTCATCTCTCTCCTGCTGTAACTTCAAACAAGATCTGACACCAAGTTACTGATTCACAGGTAGAAATGATCTTAACGGGAAACCAATGGATGAGCTGGTTTGTGGAGCTGTATGGAGCAGGCTGAGATGCACGTTTGTATTCCTGGACAGAGAAGGGTTGTATGCGGCATTTTCCACCTTGATATTTAGGGATTCAAACTTCCTGGGGACAGGCATTTTCCCACATGGGAATATCAGAGGCTGGCAGTGGGAATAGGAGATTGTGACAGCGGATAGAGCAGCTGGTCAGCACCGAAGGACCTTGATGCTCATGCTGCTCTGAAAGGGAGGATTGTTTCCCACTGATCCATGACACAGTGCGGATAAAAGTGCCGTTAATTGCTGTACCCGTCATTGTCTGCTGGATCAGTCAGGGTGAGTGCCGAGGATGCATGACTGCACCCCGGGCTGGGCTGCCCGAAACCCAGCCACGTACAGTGCTGCAGTAACGAGCAGTCGTGGCACCGGCATGGACGTAGAGATGCTCTGCTTAAAAGAGTGGCCCTAAAAACACAGCAAGTGGCACATCTACCTTTCAAATGGATTTCATATCCTCGGTTTTATAGGTTAGAGGGGCAAGCATATAAGAAAAAAAGATTAAATGTAAGTATCGCTGTCTCCCTGCCATGAAGTTACGTGGCGTTCTAGTCAAGACAGATTAGCTTGGGGGATTCAATGAGTTAATTCCTTCACCTCGGGAGACCTGGATGTCCAAATCCTGCTCAGGGCTCATGAAAATGAAGAAGGTGGTTTAATGTAGCCTGTCCAGGAGGGCTGTTAGCACCGTGCTGTTGCCTTCAGCGGGGCCAGCCCTGACCTCTGCAAAGGGAAAGGCTCAGACTTGACGTACTGGGAGTTGCTCAGACTGTGCTGGCAAAAACAGGAGTTGTTTTTTGAGGCTTCTGTTGCACCACCATCCCACAAAACCCCAAATTACAGAGTGGGGGGGGAAAAGGATATATTTCTAAATTCGTAGCTGAGATAATTACTAGAAACTTGAGTCATACTTAAGAGACGAAGTTTATGTCACACTCCTGTAAAAAATTCCAGCCTTCCCCAGCGATTGAATGTTTTCACTCGTATTTCAGTGATTAGGTCGTTAAAAACCGTAGCTAATAATAGAAGGTCTTGGCGATCTTTGTTCTAAGGAGGGTAAGTATGGAGCCAGGGTGCCTAAAATGAATGCAGACATCCTGTTTGCCTATTTCTAAAGGTTCTGGAGAAAAAAAAAAAAAAAGTGTTGCACAAGTGCCCCTTGTAGCTGGATGTGCCTGCGACCATACCTGTTGCTGTGTGCTTGCAGCCCTAATATGCTGCTTTTTTTTTTCCTTTCCTCCTATTCTTCATGGCTCCCCTACGAGTACCTGGTAGATAAAGGGTTGGAAATGCACCCACTGAGACCGCAGACTGGACTGAAAGTTGTGAAAAACGCACTGTCTCTCCAGTTTCCATGGCTGCGTTCGTGTCAAATGTTGTCTTCTTGCCGTATTTTTAGCGATTTGCAGTTTTCTGTGGTGTTTCTGGAACGTCTGTTAAACTGTGAATGTTTTTATCCTCTTACAGACGTGGCTGGATCCTGCCAAAGAAATAAAAAAACAGGTTCATGGTAAGTGGATTGAATTTATCATGTAGGTGTGTGTGGTTTCTCCCCCCTTCCCTAAATAAGCACGGCTTTAGCAGGCCATCCGGGGGGCCCAAGGATGGATGAGAGGTCAAGCGAGGGTGTCTGGCAGGGATCAGCAGAAGTTCAAGCAGTCTGTGCATCCTTTCTCTTCTTCTTAAGTACTTAGTGATGCTCTAGATTTAGGAAAAAAATGTCATTTCCTTGGGAAAACATAGCTTGGGGTGTATTCACCCTGTGCAAACCCACGCTGTCCTTGGTGCCATGTGATGCTGAAATGGGAGATCTCCTCCCTGTAAGAGGATGGGAAAATAGATGTCAGTGAGAACCATTTAAATCTCAAAGGAGACTAGGGGAGCCTGAGCAAAATTGTACGCTGTAGCAAGGTTTTTTGGACTCTTAAGGCTGTTTTGGGGTCCAGATAGGGATACTGGGATGATAAATGGCTCGAGTAGTATCAGGGCAAATACCAGATGCTCTCCAAAGTTGTATTTAAGGTCTGCTAGCACTGAATTAGTTCAAGATGAGGGCAGCGTGAAAGTGAAATAAATTTTAGTGCCTTTTGTTTTCTCTCAGGAGCAAACCTGACTGCTTTGAAAGTAAAATACCGTTTCACGAAATACTGTTTTATGTATGCTTTTGGTGGGGGGTGCAGAGCAAAGTGTGTCATTAAGTACAGGTTGGGGTGGAAACGCCGCAGGGTTGTGGAGTAGGAAAAGCTCCTGCTCTTATCAACTTCTCTTTGAATTGATAGCAGGATGTTTGTAAAGGGCATGAGCTGCTCTGGCTGTGCCGTGCAGGTAAAATTCAGCTAGTAAGGATAACGAGCATCCTGCTGTGGAATTTGGTCCCCTGAGGTGGGTTAGATGGCAAATTATTTGATTTTACTTGAATATATGTTGAATATACGTATGAATATGTCAGTTTAGGTAACCTCTGCTACCTGAAATGTCTTCTTGGAATAACTTCTTTTGAACCGTGTATAATGAAAACAACATGCCTTGTGTTTAATCCCAGTTATGGCGTTGCATAAGAAGTAAATCCATGAACGCTACGTTTCCCTTCTTCCCTGTTTGAGATTGCGATAAATCTCTGAGCAAGTTAAGCACAGGGGTATCTCCTCTTTCTGCAATAAATATTATTTTGAACTAGTGTTAAAGGGCACAACGGGGGGAGTTGTAACTATGAAAATTACTTTGAGTGCTTAATGGGTCGGGCAGGACTATTTTCTGCGGGTAAAAGTGATTACTTTCAAGAAAAAGAAAGAGTAACCCCTTCAGCCATGTCACCTAGACTGTCCATACCACATGTAATGCCAATTCTAAGTGTGATTATGTGGATTCTCACTCCAATTAATGCCTGCAACGATGCTGTACAAGGTTTGCAACGAGCAGTATTGAAGCGTTTAGATCTGGGCTTGTAAAGCTCTTCGTGTCTCGGTGCTTGCTGGTTTCATCCAGAGATTGATGCTTGTGTTGTGCGGAGTTTCAGCTCTGGTCTGACCACCCGACCGCAGTGCATTAGGCTGCTTGAGTGAATTAGCACATCTGCTCTTGAGGAGAAATTTGAAAATTGGGTCGAGTGATAAAACAATACTAATTCATTAACTTATAGCACACACCTGACCTCTCTTCATGAATCCTTCTTTTCAATCGATGAAAAAATGTGTGAGTAATTTAACCTCTTAGCAATTAATTTAATTTTTTCCACAAGTTGTGGTTTATTCATGTGCATTTGCCTGCTCTGCTTTGTTTTCTCCCGCTTGTATCTTAGCCGCTGTAAATGAAATCGTATCTTATACTGTCGGCTAAGCAGCAGCTAGCTATGTGAGCGAACAGTACTAAATCAGTGTTACGATCTGCTGGCTATATTTTGAAGATCAGATTGGATATTCCTATCTCTTTTTTTTGTAACCACTGACTATCACAAAGCTGTTCTGGTGTGTTATATTTTTCTCAACCTCTTCTTTGTAATTACAGGAGGCCCCTGGGATTTTACCTTCAATGTCAAGTTTTATCCACCGGATCCTGCGCAGCTGACAGAGGACATAACCAGGTGAATTACCTGGGAATCTTGCTGCCATCCAGGGAGCTTGCTCAGCAAAGCAATGAATATTGTATAGAAATTTGTAATATTTGGGTATTTTTCCATCCTTCAGCAAGGAGATCAGATGTCTTAAGGTTTGGAGGGTTTTTTGTTTGTGTGTTTTTAGTGGATCTATGGGATGGTCCCGCTCTCCACTGAAGTCCACATGCGTAGAGCAGCATCATTTATAATCCTGGAATGCATGTGTTTGTATAAAAAAGTAAATTTTTATTTAAACCCAAGATCTTTCTTATCATAAGTATCCTCTACTCCCTTTGCAGAGTGGAGGTGACCTTAAGTCCTCCTGTCCTCCACGCTGTTTACCGTGGGAATGTTACCCCATAAGTAAAAATACAGGTAGAAATTAGAAACAAGCATCATGCTGCATTGGCATAAAAAAAGAGACTCGGTTTGATGCTCGAGTTTCTTAAGTTTCTCTATGTTCTCTCTAAGTAGTATTTTGCTTCCCCCTCCTGCCCAGGTATTACTTGTGTCTTCAGCTTAGACAGGACATCATTACGGGGCGGCTGCCCTGTTCCTTTGCGACATTGGCTCTGCTGGGTTCGTACACGGTCCAGTCCGAGCTGGGAGACTACGATCCCGATCTGCACAGCCCAGATTACATCAGTGAATTTAAATTGGCCCCAAACCAGACAAAAGAGCTCGAAGAGAAGGTTGTGGAGCTTCATAAGACGTACAGGTAAGGTGCAGCAGCTGGAGGACTTGTTCATGCACAGCAGCCTGAAATAATGGATATAATGGGGCTTTCTGGTATTTTCCCCACCTTTGTTGTATGCTTTTGGTATCCTGCAGTACCGATTTTTTTATGTTGGAAACAGAAGCTTCAGCAGTAAGGTGTGAATTTTCAGCTACTGAGAACATCAGCTTTTTAAAAAAGTTCTAATACTTGATAACAAAATCTTTCTAGAGGCTGGAATTCTTTTTTGCTGCGTGAAGAAGAAACTATGTTTTCAGAAAGCAGGTGCAAAGTCTTGTGATTGTTTATTAACAGGTGCTCTTTTTCAACAGTGTAGCCGTGAAAGTGGAGTTTATTTCATGTGAAAATACAAAATTTGCTTGTTTTAACCTTGCCCTTTGTCTTCTTTTTTTTTAATACTTGCTTTGGGATTTATGTAATTTTTGGATTACAGCCTGGCTGGAGCAGATCTCGTCTCTTTGTGTATACGCTGTAGCCTACAGCATGTTTGGGGTTTTCTGCTGCCACATTTAATGAGTAACACTTCCTAACCTGGAGGTATTCCAGATGATGCAGAAGGTATAAACCTGCAGTTACACTGTCCTCGTCCTGGTTCCCAGTGCAGCCATGACCTGGGCAGATGTGTCTTGTTCAGGGAGGGCTGAAGGACTCCTGGAAGTCCCCCTGGTACCAGATTAAAGGGTGACAATAACCAAACCTCTTCCTCATCTTACTTTGAGCTTATTTTCATAGATGTTCTCGAGTACTTGGATTGCAGAAGCTGTGCAGAGCTGTGTGCTCTCCAGCACAGAGGGCTGGCATGGAGAGCAGCCAGCCAGCAGCTTCTGCACCCTCCCAGAGATATATTTGGGTTTTAGGGGGAAAAAAAAGCCCATAAAACCACTTGGTGATACCGAGGCCTTCAACTGGCAGCCCCTTGACCTCTGAAAAGCTGCTGGCTGATGCACTAATAATGAGAACAGAGCAAAGATGAGACCTTCTTGCAGACAGACAGAAACTAATAACCTGAGTGCAGTAGGGAAGGGTGGACGTGTGCCTCCGGCTGTGACCAAAGCTACAATTAACACCTTGCTCAACCCTGCAAATCAATACTTTAAATTGATTCCTCTCCATTTGCACTGAGAAGAGAGGAAATGAGGGAAAATAAGTACTGGACCGCTGACAAGCTTCATGACTTGAAGTCAAAGGCCGTTAGCTGTGCTGGAAGTGGCACATCACGTTGCTGAATTATTCATGGCTTCATTAGAAGGATACTTCAAGGTACAGGGTGTAGTTATATTTAATCTGCTAGTGTATGCAGGAAGAAGCAACATGTACCCATTTAATTTTTGGTCCGTATTCTGTGAACGTTTTCAGAGGGTTTTCAGCATTTTCTGCTAAACCATGCTCCATCTCTTGCTACTTTATTTGCAAAGCACAAGGCACATGTCGGAGATGGTGACTGCTCCTGGGTCTTTCCTAGAGGATTGTCCTTACAGTTGTCTTTGTCTGCCCTGTCTCCCGCCCAATAAAACCTCTGTTTACGTTGCACGCAAGATGTATGCGAGCGCTCGGTAAGGAGGACAGCAAGGCAGGGAACAAGATGAGCTGTATACAGCTGAATACTCTCCCAACAGAGCTGTTTGATGTACCTTGTACACCAGAAAGTTATTAACAAGGGCACTTCAATAACGTTGATAATAGCCTCCATTAGCAGGATGATTCTGTTAAGCAAAGTTGTGTTTTGTTGCCCCTCCTGCAGACAGGGTACCATCTGTTCCCAGAAAATGTCTCATTCATCTGGTCTGTCCCAGTAGGAATCATTGCTGAGCGGTCTCAGCTGTCCTTGCGTTTGGTTTGGAGAACAATAGCTGGGTCTGGGGAGGTCTGGAGGCAGGAGGGCTGGGAGGACAGTACCTGTCAGCCTTTGCCTTCATTTGAATTGGTGTTTCTTCCACTGAATTGGCGTTTCTTCTACTGGATCAAGTTTTGTAGCCTTTACTGCACTTCCTCGTTTTCTTCTCCAGTGTCTGTACAGCTCCACAGAAATAAAGTGCATCTGTTTTATGAGGATGTCTCAAAGCGCAAATTTGTGCATTCAGAGTAATTTAATAATTCATCATCTGGACGCAAATTTGTTTGTATTGAAAGCAAAAGAAAATCTAATGAGTAAATGGTTTTGTGAAGTCTGATCCGTCCTAAAAGCAACAGTTAGGGGAATACGAAGCCCTTTCTGTCTTTCCGCAGATCCATGACTCCAGCCCAAGCAGACCTGGAATTTCTTGAGAATGCGAAAAAGCTGTCTATGTATGGAGTCGACCTTCACCAAGCCAAGGTGAGAATCGGGGTGTGTGCACCTGCCTATGGATTTTGTAATTTGATTATCCTTCCCTTGCAGGAGCAAGTTTACCTATTTCAGGAGGCTCCTTTTGAAAGATATAGGAAGTATGGAAACACAGACATGCAACAGAAATGCCTCAAGCATTCTTGCAAGAGAAGTGATTCTTCCTGATTGCTTATTGTTTATATATTACAGGAAGCTTTACAAAGGTACTGATGTAGACAGGTCCTTGCTCTGAGGAACTTAGAATGTGAGGCTCTGACCCTGCAAGCTGAGCCACTCCGCTCGGGGAAATGCAGGCTAGATTCTAGATGAGCCCTTTGAGCAAACAGCGTCGCAGGAGAGATCAGCAGGAGGAGGTTGTAAGGAGAAACGTGAAGGAAAAGCAAGCCTGGCCCTGGCTGCAAAGGGAGCTGGAAGGTGAAGTCTGGGTGGTGGGGAGATGAATTTGGGGGAAAACCAAAGGGGTAATTTGGAAGGCAGACGTTGAACTGAAACTTGTAACCCTTGCACTGCTTAAATCCTCATCTGCTTTCCCAGGACTTGGAAGGAGTGGATATCACTCTGGGAGTCTGTTCCAGTGGCCTTCTTGTTTACAAAGATAAACTGAGAATCAACCGCTTCCCTTGGCCTAAAGTCCTGAAGATTTCCTACAAACGCAGCAGCTTCTTTATTAAGATTCGGCCAGGGGAGGTACGTGCTGACTTCTTTGTGCTCATGTCTTCTTTAATTGCCTTCTGACTATCACCAACGTTGTTTGCTTCACTAAAACAAAGTGGGAGGAGGGAGCAAGCTTTTTTCTGAATGAGTATTTTATACTCTATAGGGTTTCTGATCTTGGCTTGGTATTAAGTTCAGGTAGAGCCCCTTGACCTTGCTGAAGCTATAAACCAGTGGGTGACAACTTAACGTGACATCCAGCACCACCTCCTGGCACTGCGTGATATTCCCAGCATCCAGAGGAAACGGGTGGGAAGTTCACAGTTGAAATTGGGAGAGGACTAACTCCTTTTTTTGGAAAAGGGGCAAGACGGAGGCTCTTTGTCTCACTTTCGTTTAAAAAAAAAAAATAAATTAAAAAAATACAGATACATACCTTTTCACTTAGAATGCAGCAGGCAGGGGGTGGCTGCCTTGATGCTGCCTCTCGTGAACGGGGAGATCCCTGGAGCAGCCTGGTTGCTGGAAGCATGGCGGAGAGAGAAGCTACGATGGGGGTCTGCCTCTTTCCTCCTCTCCTCCTTCCTTCTACTTCGACTACCATGACCCAGCCTTGCTGGGAAGTTGATTTTTGACCTCATCCTGCAGCTGGGCAGTGTGGTGGGGGGGTAAATGAGTCTGAATGGCTGCAAAACCCACAACACACTCCTCTGCAAATCCTGGTGCATCCTGAGAGATGCGTGAGGGTTGTGGACCAAGCCCTGTGTTTTCTCGGACCCAAGCTCCTCCTGCACATCACGGAGTGAGTTCAGCTGCTCATGAGCTAGACCAGCAGTTTGTGCCACAGCAAAATGTGTTGATGGGCTGGGAACTGGACTCCTGCCACACTTGTTTCTTGCTACACCTAAACAACTTATATTTTCTGCAGCAAGAACAGTATGAAAGTACAATTGGGTTCAAGCTACCAAGTTATCGGGCAGCGAAGAAGCTGTGGAAAGTATGTGTTGAACATCACACGTTTTTCAGGTGGGTTTTCTAAATGGTAGGCTTGCCTTGAATAACTAATACTTTAACTAAAGCGGCTGAAAAGGAACACTCCTTCAGTGTTCCTTGGTGTTTCACAAAATACGGAGTGAAATGGTTGCAAAGACATTAAGCGTTTATATTGCAATAAATTTCTAGGCAGCTTCCGCTTCATAAAATACGTAAGACCAGAGGTCTTCTAGCTTCTGCAGATGTGGGGCTTATTGTTTGTGCATGTTGCTTTGTTAATCAAGCATATGCAGAGCCTTCTTTAGTTTGTATTTTAATTTCTCTTTACCTGCCGCTTCCTAGACCTGGAGGTATGATTTTTAAATTGTGTGTGTGGTTTTCAGGCTGACTTCCACGGAGGCCATCCCGAAGAGCAGGTTCCTGGCCCTGGGCTCTAAATTCCGCTACAGTGGCCGGACGCAGGCGCAGACAAGGCAGGCGAGTGCCTTGATCGACCGACCCGCTCCACAGTTCGAGCGGACGGCAAGTAAGCGAGCCTCCAGGAGCCTCGATGGAGGTGAGTGTCTGGTGCCTCTTCCCTCTCCGTGGCTGGATCCTGCAGGATGCTGAAATGCTCCTTAAATACCACCTAAATTCCCTGCTTTAAAAAAAAAAAAAAGCGTAACTTCTCACTTTAATGCAAGACCTGGATATAAAATGCAAACAGAATAGTAGTACTAGCAAGAACTGAGTGACAAAAAGGATGTAGGTGGGTGCTGAAGGCTTATGGCAAAGTTCTGGTTGTAAAGATATTTCCTCATTCAATCTCGATGCATTTTCCTTTTAGCAAATCAGAAATGAAGCTATTCTAGGATTTGCTTTGTTTAACGTAACTTCTTCAATTACATAGTTGTTCTCGAGGGGAAGATTTTTTTGCCACAACTGTTTGAAACTTTTTCAACGTCTGTTAAAGTGATGCTGATGTTGAAGTTTGTGGCATATCGATCAGGTGGGCTCGTCCCTGAGGTTTTTTAAAGGGCCAGATAACAGCAGGCTAGAGGAGATGAGGCATGGAAGGTGGAGTGCTTAAATTTGCTCGCCTTGATCTGGATCATAGGGTGCTTGTAAAATTAGGATCCAGCGAAAGGGGAGCATCCCTTTGCATCGAGGGCATCTTGACGGAGCAGGAACAGCGTTGCTTTGAGCCCCAAGGCCATGCTCCAATCTGTGAGGGATCAGGGCTGCCCCAGCACCCTATGGCCAGCAGCAGCAGCCGCTCCTGGCATGAATTTACAGGGCTCAGCAACACCCTGAGCCTGGGCTTCGTGCCTCAGAGCTGGGAGGGGAAGGGCTGCTTGATTTGAGCTCCGTACCACAGTAAAACAAAATGCCAGCTTACCTGCAGTCCGGGCATGCAAAGTTAGTCAGGCAGGATGCATGAAGGCAAGGGGAGCAGTGTTGTTGGTTACTCCTTGGCCATGCCTTGTAGACTTACTACCCCAAATGAATAGAGAAATCCCCGCTGCAATCCTGTACCCGAATGCCAGAGCTTGGAAACGAGCAGCCTGTGAATGTAACGCTTCTGTCCCCATTGAAGTCTGCAGCCTTTTTCCATCTGCCGTGTGGGCAGTCGTTAACATGTGCCCCGTTTCTTCAGCTAAACGTGCGACTCAAAAAAGTGAGTTCAGAGCCGTAGAGGAAGAGAAGCAGGAGGAGGTGGTGGTGGTTGAGGTTCCTGAACCAAAACCCGCGGATCAGATCCGAGAGAAGCCAGGTATAGCAGTGGTGGTGGCTACAACTCTGCAGCACCTTTCCTATCCTTCACATGCTTGTTCCTGACAACTCCAAGTTTCACCAAATCTGGCGGCTTTCTTTTTTCATTTCTTTGCAAAAAGGGTTTTGCGGTCAGAGGACAGACAGCCCAGCAGAGCCCCAGCTCTGGGAGACTTGTTGAAGTTTCCGCCTTGCACCTCGTTAGACTGTAATTCTCGTGGGGAAGTGGGGAAAAGTTTAGGATGTGCTGGCACTCAAGAACTGTTGTCTTATTAAATGTGGGTGTTTTTGTAAACGTGGATTAGAAAACGTAAAAGTTTGATCTTGAAACTTCTTGTAAAGCTTCTGAAATTCTTCATCCCAGGACCTGCTTGCCATTTTTTTAAGCCTATTCCTTTTTTTTCGGGGTTTGAGAAATGCTACCCATTTTGCTACATGGATATATTTATCTTAAGATAGGTACTACTAATAAATATTAATGCCCTTAAGAGGTGTGTAGGTACAACAGCATATTTGAATACTAATAAGCATATCACAGCAGCAGTGTTGTCAAATATTTACAGTCTTCATCACTTGAACAGCAAATGCCTGTGGTGCATTAGGGCTGAAGATAATTCGTATGCAAATGCGTTGTGTACTGTTCCACTTCTCTTCTCCCGCCCTGAATTTTTTAGAGTGCTTTTGACATCACTGTTTTTCTAGTATGAAATCTAGATCAAGCTTTCATGAAGTAGTGTGGCAGACTGTCTTCCCACCACTGTCTTGCCTTGAATGCTCGCTAGTCCTTTTAGGGAAAGCCTGATGCTGTAAAAACAGAAGCTGGAGAGTTTAAGACAGCAGGGTAGATGGCTCTTTGTTCTTAATTTTTAGATTTGAAGTTGATTAAATGAAGTACATTTAATTAAAGCTGCTAGTTTTTATATAGGTTTTTATCTAGAGGAGCCCAAGTGGTTTTTTCCTGGATTTTACCAGCCAGCACCTGCATCTCCCCAGACTTTGCTGGCAGAGCCCATCCTAGTACCACACACGAGAGCCATTCGCGTGTCCCCACGTATCCCTGCTTGGGCAAGAAGCCTACGAAGCATACTTGTGTTGTTCTTTTCCCCTCTCAACCAACACACTCTTGGGCCCGGCAGCACTGGAAAGACTGATATGCAATTGCATGGTGGAAAATTGCTCTTAAGCTGCCTGGTTTTAAAACCTCCTTGCTGTTCTCAGCCGCTGCCTTGGAGAGGGATCTCCTCTCGCTCTTTCCTCTGCTGTGGTGACCGTCTTGTGTCCGCGCGGTTCTCCCAACTGCTCTATTAATGCATGCAAACCTCTTTCTAGCCAAACACACTCTTGAAACTTTTGAAATGAAACCCATTGCAGAGGAGGAAGAGGAGGAGGAGAAGGTAGAGGTGGTTAAGGTTCCCGTTGCCAAGCCAAAGTTACCGGAGCCGTTGCAGAGGCAGTCAGGTACAGCCGCAGCGGCGTTTGGCATCGGTGTGGCTCCCCTGGCCGCCCATGCTGTGACCTGCTGGGTTGAAGTGATGCAGTGCCATAGGATGGAGGTTGCATCGTTTGCGGTGGTGTTCATTGCTATTAAAATCAAACCTGGCTTTGCAAGCGTGCTGTAATACGTGAGTGCTGCTTTGTCGAGGTGTGCCTCTGGGTGAAATGAGGAGGTGCCGTGCCGTGCTGTGGCTTGGCTGTGTGCCTGCGTGTTGATATGAGTGTGCAGTGGCCTCTTAATGCGCCTCTGTTACTGTCCCTTCTTGTAAGCTTCCTTCCTCTGAGCTGTAGGAACGTGCGGTGCCTGAAAATCAGGTTGTGAGCTCCGGGACTGCTGGAGGTCACCTACACCCTGCTTTATTTCTTTGCTAGGGAGCCTGCTTCTTCCCTAGTTGGGGAGGGGTTTCAGAGCAACTTCCCTGCTGCAGGCAGAGCCAGCCTAATCGTAATTAAAAGCAGAGTTGGTTAGCCATTGCAGGAAGAGGAGATCGAAGCCGTGGAGGGAGGTAACTGGGAATCTGTTTTCTTGGTTATTATGAAAAACACTAAACCAGCCCCTGCGCTTAGACTCGAGGATATTCCATGAGATGGGCTGCGGCAGAGCGGACATCGGCCAGTGTCAGACCCAAGCACGTCCAGGGATCTCCTACTGCCGCTGCTCCTTCTTCTCATTCACCTCCTGCACTTTTTCCTCCTCTTGACACTTTTGTTCTCAGTAGGGACCGTTTTCTTGGCCAGGATGATGATGATTGGTATTTTATACCTCGTATTTTGGAGCAGTGCTTTTTACTGGGCTTAAATCGTCATGTGTCAAAATAGCTAAAGGTAGTTAATCAAGAAAATGTAACTAAAATAACACAGTTCTGGACAGCACAGAGCTCATCTTTGAATGACAAAGGAAAAGTTTGGTATCTGTTATTATTTTTCCTGTGTGTCTGTCCTGTTCTGAAGCACTGTCAGAGAGGCAGGAGAGGTGGCTGTGCGGATTTACTGATGACAGTATTTCCTTTGCTACTTCATCTTCGAGGTGGCATTTTAACACGTCCATAACTTTTTTAGCCAAACGTGCTCTTGGCAATGTTGAGATAAGCCCAGTTGAAGAGGAGGAGGAGGAAGAAAAATTGGTGATGATGAGAGAACTAGAGCCGGTCCCGAAGGAGTCAGGTACCACCGCGATGGCTTTGCACACCCGGCATCCTCCTAATCCCGACTGTCCCTGCCATCTCACCTGTGTACAACCTCCTGGGTGGCTGTCACCGCTTCCGTGGCATAAATACACCAGGACACGGCACCGGTTGTCCTTCCGAAAGGAAAACAGAATGTCTGGCTCACAGAAATGAACTCCTGTGCTGAAGAGCAGGGGAGATAATGGAGACAGCAGTGGTGATGTGGGTTTTAGGGTGGATTTTCAGCAAGACTTATAATTTAAATCTCTGAAAAGTCAGGTTCTTTTTTGCCCCTCCATCTTGTATGTTTTGGGCCACATGGATACTTTATTTTGTACGTGTTTTATACACACAGATGAGATGCAGTTATCTTTTCGGTGAGACAGGAATTCTTACCAAGGAGTTCCTTATAATTACAATTTCTTTTTCAATGCCAAATTTTCTAGTGTCTTTTGCATAGCTGGATGGACACTCGTAACCTAGTGTTGGCTGGGGTAGGTTACACAATGTTGACCCTTGCTGCATAAACTGTGACTTTAGGAATATGAGACTACGTCAAAAGAAATTATTCTAGGTGACTAGGTATATTTTTAGTGGAATGGCCATAAAAACCAACATCAGGAGGACTAAATAGCTTAGTGCAGCTATAGGTACACACAGTTAATTAACTGGGGCTTGCTTTGTTGCCCAGTATTGGCTTGAATATTTTGGAGGTGTCAGGCTTTTCAGGGATCAGGAACGGTCTGGGAGATCAGGAATCGAAGTAAAGGAGTAGGCAGTTGGTTTTGTTTGTACCTAGTCCTTGTATCTAAGACTGTCGTCCTCTGGAAAGGTGATTTTTTTAGCAGCATGCTATTCATTTCTGCACGGTCACTGACGTGGAGATGCTGGGTATCTTCTCGCAGCGGTGCCTTGGGCTGGAGCAGGAGATACCCATCTCGGACACGCAGCCCCAGCCTGCTTTGAAACCCACCTGGAAGTTGCTGTGAAGTTTTATAGAGCAATGCTTCTTGTTTATTTTTTTGTTTGAATTGCTGAAAAGATTGGGGAGATGGGGGAAAGCCTGTATTGCCCTTCCAGAAACCATCTGTTTCTGGTTGGGAAGGTGCCAATGCGTCAAGAACTCACCACAGCTGTAAGTGTTTCTATTTTAATGGTTGCACTGGAATGGACTTCTGTGTGAGTTGTGTGTGAAGGACCCAGAATTCGATGGCACAGTGTCAAAAATAGATTTGCCTTTCTGGTGTGGCTTCTCTGCAGAGTGCAAGCTTGCTTTTTATAAACCATCTGTTGTGGGGTTTTATTTTATTTAAACCATAAGGAAAATAATCTCAACTTTCCCGTACTAAATGCACAAGCTGCTTTGCTCAACATCTTTCTTTCTTTTCCCTTTTTTTCCCTCCTTCTCCCTTTCTTTTTAAATGACAGCGCTGTAATTTGGAAAGACTGCCTAGTGCTTTAGAAACGTTGCCTGCTCTGAACATTGTCCCTGTCTGTCTTTTCCCCCATCCTCAGCAGTGGCTGTGATAACCCCTGAGAGGAGTCCCCGTCCCACCTCTGCTCCGGCCATCGCTCAGAGCCACGCTGCAGAATCAGTCCCAGCTAAGCCCGACACGAAGGACGTGGCCACTGCATCTAAAGTAGAAAAGGAAACAGCAAAACCCGGTGTGAGACGTGAAGAAATCCCACCAGAGAAAGCCAAGCCGGAGCCAGCCGATGCATTAAAGGTGTGTCAAACCAGAATCTCTGGAAGAGGCTGTGCTCGTGCTGGGCTGGAGCATCGGCTCTAGAACCAGCCCCAGAGCAAGCAGCTCTGTGCACTTTCCTCTCCCGGCCAACGAGGGGTTTATCCCTCACCCAGAAGCGCGAGGGTCTGGGTCCCAGGGAAATCTCAGCCCTGCCCCTCTGGGTGTAAGGAAGGAGGAGGTCTGGGGTGGCTGCGTTTCGGTGGTTGCAGTCAAACTAAATGCAACTTACTGATATGGTATTTAAAAAGCTGGTAAGAATTGCACATGAGTTCATGCCACTTAAATTTAAGGCTCACCCATCGCTAGGCTGTCTCTGCTGATTCCTGGTACGACAGCAGGAGAAATTCCAGTGAAATGGGTGATACGGATCTGGTCTGCAACCCAGCATCTGAATGCAAATGTTTTTTACGTTGATAGGCTTTCTCTGGGAGAGCTGTTAATATGTTTCTGCAAACTGGACTAAAACTTTGGTTTTGAATGGCACTGTTGAGACTTTAGGGGGTTTATTGTTTAAATGAATTTTTTTAAACATTATTTGAGCTTTCTACAAATGTCTGAGACCTCTGCTGAAGTTGATCTGTGTGTATTGTTCTCCTAAGTGAACATAATGTGAAAAATACTTGTTCATATTACAGTGTCCTTAATATTCTGCAAATCTTATTGACTGAAACCTTCCAGTGTTGCAGCAGAGGTGTATGCCTTGAGATACAATTTTCACATTACTCCCAATATTTAGCTGTTCTCAGCATTACTGGAGCCACATTTTTGCTATAATGAATCACGCAGTGGGTCTTGTATGACATACTCCGGGGGAGATCGCTATTAATTAAGGTAGGGAGATGGAGGTGAAGAAAGGACACTGTGATCAGTAATTTTAAAATGAAAACGCTGACGGAATCTTCAGGCTGGCACTTTGGAGCGTGCATCGTGACACACAGTTCCTGTAATGCTGTTCCTGCATGGCTGCTCACCCTCCCTAGCATTAAACTGGGAACAAGTAAATTTTATTCATCCCATCTTACTTATTACAGGGTTTTTCCTAAATGCTTAAACACTGGATCTTTTTTTTTTTTCTTTAAATGTAGATGTGGGAGGAAATTGTGGATTTGAACATGCCAAATTTACCCTGTTTCTCAAATGTAGCTGCATCACTTCTTTTAACACCCACCGATGCTTTCGCCTTCAGAGTATTTGACAATTCAGTTTCCCTAAAATACTTTCCTTAAAGTGTTAAGACAACCTTGGCTCTCTATTTAGGGAGAGTAAAGAACTTAATTTGTGATGTTAGGCTTGAGTTTCTAGATAGATGTCCTCTTACTGACTCTGTGAACGCAATGCCTGTGCATAACAAATAATTTTCTGGTTTTGAGAAGGTCTGTGTTAATTTGAGCATATTGCTTTTGGGAAGGATTTCACGGAGAGATCCAGCTGCAAATGAAATTTGAAAACATTGCCTGGCAAAGCTAATGCAAGTGGGAAGTCGGTCTTCAGAAGCACTAGAGAGCACTGTGGTTTCAAATGCAAATAATTCTGGAGCTGAAGGAATTATTGTAAATGTGCTGTTAACTAACAGACTGTCGGAGAGCTGCGGTGTCATTAACTCTTTCCGGAGGACTGCATGTTGGTTTTTGCATGTTCACCCAGCATTTCAAAACCAACTTTATGCAGCTGTGTTTTGAAACTAAATGGTCTCTTGAAACAAGTCTACTAACAAGAAATGTTTTTACCGATTTATTTCTTAAATGTAGGTGAGGAAAGCGCACATTGAGGTCACAGTACCCACCACGAATGGTGACAAGCCCCAGGTTTGTGCTAATAATTGAGTTAGGTTGCTCACATTTTTTTTTTAAGGTTAAACAGTGAGGTTCAACATAGTTAAATGAACCAACAACTCTTCTTTTTTTTTTTTTTTATCACCACCCAACAGCAGCAGCCTGCAGAAAAAGAGGAAGAACTGATAAGAATGAGGAAGGTTAGCCATTTTACACTTTCACCAAACAAATTTGCCATATCATTCATGCATCTCTAACCTGTTTAAAAAGACAGTGCTCCAATTTCTTCATGTGCTTTGGGTTGGGTTTTTTGTTGGTTTTTTTTGTTTGGTTTTTTTTTTAAACTGTAACTATCAAATATCTGATTTTAAAATTGATAGCTTTTTGTCCCATAGACAGTCTGATTGCTAAAATTATGCATGTTGAGTGTTCAAGAGAAACGCACTTGGTTTAATTTATAAAATTTACCTTCTCTGTAACAAATTTAGTTAGAATCCAAAGAAAACTGTGTAGTGTGCATTCCAGGAAAGGCAAAAAGAAAAAAAAAGGCGCATAACGCTTTTTTTATATTGATTAAGGAATAGGGGATGTGTCCAAGATGGGAAAGGTGGTTAAGACGTAGTTACTGTGCACATTGAGCCCTTGTAAAAGTTACACCAGGCAGTACAGCCTCCTACACTGGGGTGGGCATCCATCCCTGTCAGGGATGTGAAGTTGTGACTCCGTGCAAGGCTTCCACAGAAAAACAGTAACTGTCTCTTTGTGGCGAGCAATGTAAATCAAGGCGAAAGCCGACGAACCCCTGGGAGCTGTCTCTTTAAAGGACTCATTGCATTTCCCCATTCTCCATGAGCAAGAACCCCCATTTCCCGGTGGTGCCCCCACGCCAGCATCCCTGCGGCTGGGTCCCCACCCCACGCTGGCACAGCGCTGCGCTCCCAACGTTGAGTTAACTTTTTTAATTTGCCAATTTGTCGATCCCGCAAGAACAACATTTTAATTTTTTGTGCTTTTCTTTTTCTTTTTTTTTTGTTTTGTTTCCCCCTTTTCTTTCATTTTCACAGAAGAGATCAAAGAGGCTAGATGGTGAAAACATTTATATCAGGCATAGCAATTTAATGTTGGAGGTTTGTATGAACTTGAAGCTTTTTTCAGTTGCGTTTGCCTAGACCTTCTGCATCTGCGCTGAACTTTTTCTTCCTCTTCTGCTGCTGCCTTTCGTTTTGCATGACGTTGCATGAAAGACCTTTTTTTTTTTTTTAAATATGCTTTTGCATGGTGACAGTAAACATGACGATGTGCAGGTGTTCTTCCTTCTACCTCTTCTGACTCTCATTCTTTCATACTTACCCAAAATATATGATTGGCAGAGCTACGTGCTCAGGTCTGCTCTTGGACCTGCGGGGTGCTCACAGTGGCGTGAATCGTGACGGAGAAGCTCATTTACAAGTTTCTCCTTGCTTGAAATAAGTTATTTTCCTGGGGGAAAAGCCAGTCTATGAAAATACAAAATTTAGGATAAGCTGCAGGTGAGATTGTCCCCTCCGTAGCGTTCAGGCCACCGCGATGCCCACGTTACTTGAGACAGGAGCGAGTCCTCCCTCCGGACGTTGCTGCCGGTGTTGCAGCGATGCTTGCAGCGTTGCAATCCTTCTCCTAGCACGCACTTACCTTGCAGCATCCTAACGCTCCCTCGGGCCCCATCCTGCATCAGCACCGGGTCCCCTTGGAGCTGACCTGGGGGCTCAGTGGTCGTGGGTGGCTTGTGAGCAAGCGAGAAGCTGTTTCATCCCTCGGCGTACAGTTATTCCTTTGGCTTTGGGAGCCCTTTACGTTTGGTTTCACCCAAGCACGGTCTCAGAACAGACCATGCCAATCATATATTTTATTTTTTTTAATACACTGTGTTATGGAAGACTTTTTGTGGCTTCTGATATTCTGTTCCTGTGTTACGTGTTTCTACTCAATTTGCAGCACCAGCAGCTGGTAGGGTTTCCCTGTTGGTATCTCTTGAAAGTGGAGTGTACTAACTGCCTTCTCCTAATCTGAATTTTAAAAATTTTGCAGCTTTTGGGTGGGTTTTGGGCTTTTTTTTTTGGTGTTTTAAATTTTTTTTGACTGCTACAATGTAGAGCTTTCAGCCACGAGTGAAGGGTCTGCGGCACGACGGGCAGGGGTTCGGCTGCCGCCGGAGCGCTGTGAAGACTGTGCCTGTCGCTTTCTTTCACCCGACTCGAACAGCTCCATCTCCCCAACCCCAAGCAGAGCTTTTTCATTGCTTCTAAACCCCTTTTTCCTGTTAGTGAAATACTTGGCTCTGGCACCCAGCCCCTTCTCCAGCCCATTCCCTCTCTGCTGCCCTTCCCACCAGTTCTGTTGCAGGTGCTCCAGCCCTCCCCTAGAAAAGGGCTGACCCCAGCAGCTCACTCCCTTTATTCCTTTATTATTTTTTTTTTAAACCCATGCATTTGGCAGATCAAACATTTTTCCAGCAGACCTCGTACTCCTGAAGCTGCCGCTTGATATTATTGAAAGCCGTTTAATGCTCCATGCTCGATAACCCATGCTCCGTATTCTTACAAAAAGGGCAAAACAGGAGGAAAAGCGGTAATGCTTAGCGAGCTTGTTCCTCGAGATGCTTTCAAGACCCGTTGTGGCTCCACATAGCTCCTCGTGGCTTCTCTGCAAACCCCCCCAGGACCAGCTCTTGCGCAGTGGTGGATAACCAAGGTGGTCTTTCTCTCTTCTCTAAACCAGGAGCAGCTGTAGGGCTCCTCGACCCAGGCAGGGTTTTAACCTGGAGTGCTCAGCAGACTTATTTGTGCTTTTTTTGTGTGTGTGTCTTAACTAGCAGGCACTTGCCTTGTGCTTTCATCCGGGATGGGTGCCAAAACTGATTTTTTTCCCCCAGAAGTGTGCCAAAAAGAGCAAATGTTGTTAATGAGGCATTTGGGGCTATAGCCCTGCGGAGGGAAGATGGTGTGTCCTGGGTAAGCCGCAGGGATGCAGATATTTGAGGGGGGACCCTCCTTTAGGGATGCATTTGCTCGTCCGTCTTCTAAAATTGATGGGCTGAGTAACAACTAAAAGCACAAAACCAGTCAAATTTCCCAGTGATGCTTTTACTGACCTTAATTTCCCCCTTTCTAACGGGTGAGGCTTGCTGCTTTTTGGCACTGTCCAGAAACAACGTTGTTTGGCTTATGCCTATTTTATGCAAAAGCTTTGTTTTCAACAAATTCTGGTTGGCTTGCAAGGAAAAGCTATTTTTAAACAAGTTGAAGAGAGCTGACTTGCCTTGAAGTCTGTGCATTTATGCTGTAAACTGGCATCACAGAGTAGAAATCTGGCTTTTTCCAGATGAATTTTAGCAGGAGTTTCTTGATTGATCCGGCATAAAGTAAATTCTCAGTTTGATTTTTAAAGGGCTGTCGTCTCATCTTCATTTCAGAAGTTTAAAACCTCCTGCATTAGCTCCTGGAGGGATGAGATGAGATGTGGGGAAAAAAGGTAATGGGGGGTGTTCTGGGCCCAAAGATAATTCTTGGTAGGATAAAAAAGAAAATGGGTAGGAAGAGAATAAATAAAATTGGGAAAACATTTTCTTAAACATTAAATGCATTTATACCCATGAATATTCAGGCTAGCGGAGGAAAAAGAAAGCGAACCTACCCAATTTAAAGGCATTAAATTAAATAACCCAAACAAACAGTTTTACAACTGAAAAAAAATCCCTGATGGGGAAAATCCCTGAGATTACAACTCAGCTGTCATCTGTTTGGGTGTAGCTTGAGATGAACCGATGGCACGTCCCGCTCCTGGAGGAGACCCCGCTCCGTGCCGATTCCAGTTTCTCCCAATTAATAGGAGAGGAAAGAGGAGAGAGGACGCTCCCTTTGTGTGTTTGCAGCGTGAGCACAATTGATGGAAGTCGGCAACAACTCTGCTGAGCGCAGCTTTGCTATGCCGCAGCCTAGGCAGTCGCAGGTGTCGTCTCCGTGTCTCTTCATTTATCCTGTCCTTTTACTAATAGGATCTAGATAAGACCCAAGAAGAAATAAAGAAGCATCACGCCAACATCAGTGAGTTGAAGAAGAACTTTATGGAGTCCGTCCCGGAGCCTCGGCCGAGTGAATGGGACAAACGTTTGTCCACTCACTCCCCTTTCCGAACTCTCAACGTCAACGGGCAGATTCCCACGGGAGCGGATGGAGTGAGTACCTCGGCGGCGCGGGGGTGTACTGCACTGTTCCAAGGGATGGCTTTGCAATGTAGGATTCAGCCTCAGCCCCCCTTAGTTTTTGGTTATATTGACTTTTAATAGTTAATACTGACTTTTAACATGTATGATGGTCTCTGAGAGAATTGATACTTTAGTTGTAGTATCATAAAGATGGGATTATTTTTTTTTGGTAGAAAAAAATGTGGGAATTCTTCACCTGGTTTTGATGCTGCTTTTCCTAGTGTTACTGTCATCCATGATGCTAGAGTATACTTCACATGGCTGTTTTGGGGACTGATTGATTCCTGGGGGCAGGGAACGCATCTCCCCAAAATGTAGCAAAAAACCAAACCAAACCAAAACCCAAACACCTAAATTAAAGGGAATTATTAATTCAGAGATAATATTGCAGATAACCCAGTGGAGAAGCACTAGGATGGTATCAATTTTCAAAAGTCACTTTATTCTCCAGTTAATCCAGGATGTTATTGGATTTAGTCTTGCATTAGGATCTGCAGGTGCTGATCTGCTGTGGAGGCTTGCAGAAGACTCCTCAGGTGGCTACAACAGGGCTGTTCGTACGTGATGGAAATCTTTCTCCTTACAGGAACAGTGCCTGTATGTTAGTAGCCGCATACATTCACAGTTTCTCTGCTAATTTCCTTAAAAAGGTAATTTTTCAAAGAAACCGAGTTGGAACAGCAGAGAGCTGTCTGCCAACTGGTTTCTTCTTGGATAACAGACAGCTTCTCTGTTTAGTATTGGTGTTACCTAGCTCAGATTTGAAGCTTGTGAGTAAAACTAGTTAGCGCCTGTGTAATCAGTCTCTTAAATAGTAAATGCAATTTTTCATTACAACTGAAAAATTGCATCCTGGCTGCAGTGGCAGCCGTCGTAGACTCTCTCCTGGTTTAAGCCTAGCTTCTCCCTTTCCTGCCCACAGTGCTGCAGATAAGCTTGTGTTTGATCTTGAAACCATTGCAAGGGAGATACTTTTAAAACAGAACTAATCCTGCAGTGGATGGAGGGTTATCATAACAAGTACAAGGGGTTTTAACGACCAGGTTTACTACAGGCTCCTCAAAGCATAGAGAAAAGCCATGACAATTATAGGGCTTCCCTCCACCCCACCTAGGAAAACAAAACCCCCAAAGTGAACTAATCAGGGTTGATCGTTATCCTTGGAATTACCCTGTTTAACACACGGATGGACTTTCCTCTTTGGTTGCCGAGTCTCAGTGTAAATTCTGCAGGAGTGTGGGCAGCAGAGCGATGCAGAGCTCTGCCCACCGTGCCATGTGGTTTATGGGTGTGCGGGTGGGATAGAGCAGGGGCTCCTAAGCTCCACAACTGCAGTTTAAGAATGATATTCTTGGTTATCATGAAGAATTTCTTGCAAGGTGACCACATTGTGAGGTCTTGGGGGGCTGCTGTTCATGGTAACTGGATGGCGTGGGCTTTCCCCACCTAAGGCTGCAGTGGTCCACAGCGATGCAAGAATTGGTGTCAGGCCTGGATTTGCATTTCTGGAAATTCCCTTTTAATCTGATCCTCCCTGAAGTGCTCTTGCTGTGAGGTGGAGGTGGACACATTCTGCTGCGAACATCCAGAAATGCATCTTCGCCAGGCACCTGCCGGGGAGGGTGTTTTCCTTCACCTGCCTGTGTTTAAGGATGGTAAATCATGATGCAAAGCAATCCTGTTTCTCCTGTTCATGGTGGTATCTTCACCCTGCTGTAGTGGCCAAAGGGTATTCTGCCAGGGGCTGCTTTTCTGCTGTTCCTGTATGTTTTATTGCAAGACAACTGAACCTTAACACGCTTTGTGTGTCCAGGTCAAGAAAGTCACTGTCCTATCTTCTGAGAGACAGGTTGGTGGGCTTGAGGTAAAGCTGCTGTTCTGATATGTGCTTCTGAACCAGACTTTTGCTATTGCAATGGCACCGAGCAAAAACTCAACAGCAGCTGCTGGATAACATTTTTTTTCTTTTGGCTACATGAAGTAGTTTCATAACTCACACCGAGAGGACTTTTGCACTGCTGCAGCTTTTGCAGCTTTCGATTTTGCTTATTTTGGTGCATGGCTGGTTCGAAAAAGCTGCATGAAAGATATAACCGTGTATTCGGAGAGAAAAGCAATTATGAAAGTTTAACTGTACCCTGTTCTTTTTATGTTGTCTTTCTTTCCGTTTTTTGTTTTAATGATCATGTTACTCTTGCATTTTATATTTTCTTTTGCTGCCCAGTCTCCCAGCTACTTTCTCCCCAATACTCGTCACTTAGGGGTGTGCAAAGAACCAGTCCCAAAATACCGTACCGATCAAAGGAGGCTAGCTCAGCTGAGGGAGCTTAGAGCCAAATTTTTCCTCTCCTAGGTACACTTGGGTTTGACCAGGTTTGGCAAACTAAAGGGATGGAGAGTTACTAAACAGCAATGTTTCCCACAATCTTTTCTTTCTTCAATGGAAGTGCGAGAGCCCTTGCATGATCCTGTGTGATGATTTACCCATTCTGGTTTTTTACATTCTTTAGACTCCAGAAACAAAAGTGCTAAAATGTGGAGCGAAATTTAAGGAGTTTGCAATGCTCCTACTGCCATCCTGCCTGTTCCAGGCTCGAGATTTCTAAGATTAACTATTTTTCACTTGTTCCAGTAGAATTTTCAAAACAATCGAAATTTTGATACTCTCATCAGAACTTTGAAAAAGCGTTTTGTATCTGCACTGCAGTCTGGATGTTCAACAATATTTAACAAACGCTATTTTTTAAGGGCACCGTAGAATAGGAAGCCGTCAGAGACCACATTTTGTACTACGCCATTTCTATTTCTAATGCCTCAAGCTTTTTTCTCAACCATTCCAATTCTGAAACAGTTCAGTAGGTTTGAGCATACGCTTTTCTGGGAGGGCAGGCACAAAACACGCGTGATCATGATCCAGAGGTTTGTGACAAAACATGCGTGATGCTGATCCCGATGTTCATGAGCTCTGCAGAGAGGACCAGATTTTGTAGCTCTAAGGCTGATGCGACCCAAGCCACCAGCAGCTCTGTTCTCCAGGGCATTTTATTTTTACATTGAGAAGAAGGCTGTCCTAACGCTTTGCACACCTCCAAGTATCATTTTGGGCACTTTCCATCTGTCATTTTTGTTCATCTCTCTCTGTCTTTCTTGATCTTCTACCACGAAAGCAGACACAGGAACGTCCTCTGTTAGTACAGGATGAAGACAAACTAAAAAAGCAGGAGATACCTACTGAGACAGCCTTTCCCCGGCAAGCAAGTGAAGAAACTCTTCCAAAGGTTTCTATTCCAATTCCTGAAGAGCAGAAATCACTCAAAAAGTGTCAGCTGTACTCTAGCATTTTTCCTTCTCCACGTATTCCTTTTATGATGTCCTTTCTCCTGGTCATAGCACTGACTGTTTGGTGGCTGCTCTTTCTCTGAGTGGCAACAGGGTCATGTTGAAACCTCAAGACCAAAGCTCCTGAATTTCTTGGCCGTAGCCTCTGCTGCATCTTCCTTGTCCTGGTCTTTGATCTCCATAGTTCGCTGTCCCAGGAAGGGACACCCCACGACCGTCATGTTAATCCCGCTGCGTGTTGTTGTGTAGCTGTGATCCGGGACCTGATAGGAGTGGTCATGGATTGCTGGGTCCATTCTGAAATTTCCTACTGTGCTAAAGCAAATTCTTTGGACTGTGTTCCCGATTGCCGTAAGAAGGCAGATGGGGAGTGTAAATACGTGGGAGGAGACGTTTGCTTCTTCAGCCCATGTAGACTTCACGTAGGAATTGCTGAAGACTTGCTTTTAAGCTGCTTGTTTTAAATGTAAGATGTTCACGCGCTGGAGAACGTTTGGTACTGATCCAAAAGAGGCTTTACAGCAATCTGCTCAATCTAATCCATAACCACTCCTTTTCTAGGAAACGTAAGATTGGCGTTTAAGTTAAAAGTCTTGATTATCAATGCTGCTGTTAGTGTTAACTTAGCGACAGGGACAGGCAACTTTTTGTTTTCCCAGTGGGAGAAGCCTTTTGCGAAGCATCGCAGCTTCCCTCTCGCGCCTTGTTCCCCAGAAAATACATTGTGTTATAGGCGAAAACCCATTGCAAGGAAATATTTACTGTAAACATAGATTAATCATTTTTCTGAACCTGGTGGTCTTGGTGCACTTCAGATGTGTTTTATTTAATTTGTGTTGAACTAACTACTGCATGTTTGCTTAGGTCACAGGAATGGAGTAACCTGCTGTTAGGTACGTTCTCCTCTGTTAGCATGTTGACTTTACCACATCAGGACACTTCTAAATGTTAAAGCCATCGATTGTTTTAACTTCTCTAACAAAACCGTTGCATGCCGCTTGTTGTTTATTGCCTACAAATGTAAATGTCTGGGTGATGCTCACGTTTATCCGAGTTACCCTGGTTGAGCTGTGTAGGCTCCAAGATGAGTTGCCCAGCTGGGCTGAGCAGAACTGGTTTGCGAGCTGGAGGGAAGATGGGACTTTGTGTCTAAGGGGTTTCTTTTCTGTATATAGTAATTATGGGACTGAGCTGAGCCAACCGCTTCTCCTTTCGGTAGTAATCTGCTTTCTGTTGCATTCTCTGGAGGATTGGTATAGACACAATTACTTCTGAGAGCAGCCACCAGTGCCATCAGTGTTGGCAGCTGCTCCAGCAGCGCAGAAGAGAAAGGAGTAGACCTTTATTACAGGGACTAAAATGTGTGAATATATATAAATACATGTATTTATAACCCTTTATAGATCTGTATTTGTGTGAACAGTGTTATTTAGGAAGCTAGCAGATAAGCTTGCAGGAAAAAGACATAAGGCAAATATGGCATGTGCTGTCTGATCTGAAGGACCGTGATATATCACGGACCACTTGAGCCGCCTCTCTCTTGCTCTCGGTGTACAGGTTGAGGCTCTCTAAATGCTGTCTCAGAAACTTAGGTTGCTAGTGAAACCCTTCGTTTTAATCTTGCGGGAATC